TATCTATATATATCTCTATCTATCTATCTATAAATATATATATCTATAAATATCTATATCTATATATATCTCTATCTATCTATCTATAAATATATATATCTATAAATATCTATATCTAAATATCTATATCTATATCTAAATATCTATATATATCTATCTATCTATCTATCTATCTATATATATATATATATATATATATATAATAATATATTATAATATATACATACATAATGTATACATACATGAGTTAAGCTAGCAGTTGAACCGGACGGCGTGTTCTCTGCTGCTAACGTTTTTATCGAATAGCAGATACAACATCTGATTGTGGATGTATGTATGTATGTGTATATATAGGTCTGGTGAGGAGACGCTGCTCCTCACCAGACCTCCTCTCATTAAATGATTATATAACTTCTCCATCAACAGAGGTCTAAAGGTTCAAAGCGTCTCTTTGTCTTTCAGATCACACAGACGCAGATACGTCCATGGAGGGACACACTCCCGTGAGTACTACACGGTACCACACAGAGTACTACACAGTAGTGCTGGGCGGTATACCGGTTTTAATTTCGCGTACGATATGAAGTTTTCATATACCGTCATACTGGTGTTTAGAAACAACTTCTGTCGCTCTTCAACAGGCAGCAGAATATATTGTTCGCAGCTGAGAGCGCTACTTCTTCTTCTTCTAGTTTTACGGCGGTTGGCATCCATTTTATTGGTGCATTACCGTCACCTTCTGCGTGGATCAGACATTAGGCTGTGGGTACAGCGGTCGGAGCTAGTTGTCTTAAGTGTATTGAGAGGGAACCCTAGTCATGGTTATAACTTTATAACAACAGTTAATAACCCACAACTAACGCTCTTTAAGTAAAACACCACGACACAACAGTTTGTGACACATAAACAATTTGTAACACTAATAATTGTACATATATAAAATTTCACCGCCGAACTGCATGCTGGGTAAAGCTCGCTAACAACAGTCTGCTAACAGCTGGGAGAGGCTCTGTCGCTCCAGTAACGTTACATTAAAGAACAGAACAGAGCGATGCAGGATGAACAAAGACTGAACAACAAAAGGTATTTAGGTCAGACACATATGCAACGCTGATTACCGTAATATGTGTGGTATTTGTTATAAATGTACGTTGGTACATTGAGGGTGATAAGAAGCTGTACATGAAGGGGCTTAGGACCCAGGGGAATGTAGGTGAAGGAAACAGGAAGTGACGGAACGGAAGACACGCCACACAAACAGCTGTTCACCGCTCGCTGGCCGGTTAATTAATGAATGCTTTAACACGGAAAAAGAAATACTGTGATATACCGTGAAACCGCCAGAATCTTACAAAATACCGTGATATGCATTTTTGGTCATACCGCCCAGCCCTAGTACACAGTACCACAGAGTATCACAGAGTCAGATGTTTAATCTCGGAGTCCTGTACAGACTGAGGTCAGGACGTGATTAGCCTAGCTTAGCACAAAGACTGCAAGCAGGGGGGAACTGTTAGCCTAGCTTAGCACAAAAACTGTTAGCAGGGGGAAACTGTTAGCCTAGCAGGAGCTCCTGGCTGTGTTTAAAGTTGCAGCTGATGATAATAATTATGAAACATGAAGAAGTACTCAATCATTTACTCAAGTAAAAGTACAAAAGTATTATTATTGAAATATACTCAAAGTACCAAAAGTAACCGTACTCATTAGAGAATATATATTGTATTACTGCATTCATGTGTTCATAACTTTAAAGCTGGAGCTCATTTTAATGACTTCATATAATCTATAATGTTACATCAGTTATTAGTTAATTAATAATCTGAAACTGTAAAGTAACTAAAGCTGTCAGATAAATGAAGTAAAAAGTACAATATGTACTGTGAGATGTAGTGAAGGACAAGTAGAACGTAGTGGAAGTACAAGTATTTTCAAACAGTACTTGAGTAAAAGTACTTTTGTCTGATTGGTGATGATGAATAAACACGAGTTCTCTGCAGGTGTCTGAAAACCCTCACGCAGAGTACGGACTGACGGAGAACATCCAGGTAACACACACACTCACAGACACACACTCTGAGGTGAAAAGGCAGACTCCCAGCATGCTTTGCTGCTCCTCAGAGGACGGTGGAGAACGAGAAGGCGGGCTCGGAGAAGATCTCGAAGCAGAAGGTGGACCTGCAGGCGCTGCCGACCCGAGCGTACCTGGACCAGACCGTGGTCCCGATCCTGCTGCAGGGTCTGTCGCTGCTCGCCAAGGACAGGTGGGACACACTGGTTCAAGGTCTACACATAGAGAGGTCATTGTGTTTAAATACCCACTGAATGAATAAAGAGTTTCCTTTCTGTCCTCCAGACCTCCGAACCCCATCGAGTACCTGGCAGCGTTCCTGCTGAAGAACAAATCCCAGTTTGAAGAGAGGAATTAAACTGTGAAGTCATTTCATTCAGTAGAAACTACACTGTTGTTGTTGTTGTTTTTGTTTTTTATTAACCAGAATAAACATGTTGACGTGAAAGAGGAGCTGCTCTTTGGGATTGTATCCATTATTTATTAAAATCCGACCGCTTGTCGAACCTCAGATTCAAGAGGAGCAGTGCGGATTCCGTCCCGGCCGTGGAACAGTGGACCAGCTCTTTACCCTCGCAAGACTACTGGAGGGGTTCTGGGAGTTTGCCCAACCAGTCTACATGTGCTTTGTGGACTTGGAGAAGGCTTTCGACCGGGTCCCTCGGGGGTTCTAGTGGGGGGTGCTGCGGGAGTATGGGGTGCCGGACCCGTTACAACGGGCGATCCGGTCTCTGTACGACTGCAGTAGGAGCTGTGTCCGCATTCTCGGCAATAAGTCAGACACGTTCCCGGTGGGTGTTGGCCTCCGCCAGGGCTGCCCTTTGTGTCCGGTCCTGTTCGTGACTTTCACGGACAGGATATCTAGGCGCAGCCTGGGGGTGGAGAACGTCAGGATCGGGGGTCTCGGGATCGCCTCTCTGCTATTTGCAGATGATGTGGTCCTGTTAGCCTCCTCGGATCATGACCTCCAGCATTCACTGGGGCGGTTTGCAGCCGAGTGTGAAGCGGCGGGGATGAGAGTTAGCACCTCCAAATCTGAGGCCATGGTGCTCTGCCGGAAACCGGTGGATTGCTCCCTCCAGGTGGGGACGGAGTGCCTACCTCAAGCGAAGGAGTTCAAGTATCTCGGGGTCTTGTTCACGAGTGAGGGTAAGATGGAGCGGGAGATCGACAGACGGATCGGTGCAGCTGCAGCAGTAAAGCAGGCGCTGCACCGGACCGTCTTGGTGAAGAGGGAGCTGAGCCGGAAGGCAAAGCTCTCAATTTGGAGTCGAGCCGCTACTCCTTCGCGTCGAAAGGAGTCAGCTGAGGTGGTTCAGCATCTAATTAGGATGCCTCCTGGACGCCTCCCACTGGAGGTTTTCCAGGCACGTCCAACTGGGAAGACACCCCGGGGAAGACCCAGAACACACTGGAGAGATTACATCTCCCAGCTGGCCTGGGAACGCCTCGGGATCCCCCAGAATGAGCTGGAACATGTTGCCGGTGAGAGGGAGGTCTGGGTCAGCCTGCTTGGCCTGCTGCTACCGCGACCCGACCCCGGATAAGCGGAGGAAAATGGATGGATGGATTTATTAAAATGGAATCAGAAATTTATGAAAAACAAATTATTTTGAGTCATATTTTCATTCAGACGGCAACAAAATGTTGACGTACTGCTGGTTTGTGACTGTTTACTGACACTGACCATCTGCTTTAACTAGTGGCATCAAAACCAGCTCAACCAGTTAACTAGTGACAACACCATCATAACCAGTTAACTAGTGGCATTACAACCATATTAACCAGTTAACTAGTGTCATCATAACCAGTTAACTAGTGACATCAACAGAGGTCAGAGCTTTTATTCTGAAAACTGCTGAGACTGAGCCAGACAGGAAGTGAGCTGTAAAACCAAAATTCGAGCTGAAAGAGTGTAAAAAGTTTGATATAATTATTTTTATTTCTTCACTTTATTGCACAGCAATGAAATAAAACAATATTTTGTAATAACATGAAATTCTACCAGAATCAGAAACAAGTGATGAATTCTGTTTAGTCTTCGAACGAGATGAAAAGAAGTTTCAAACTTCATATTTTGTTTTTTTAATGTCCGAATAATTCAGATATCACCGCAGACTTTGAGTAATAAAGCCCAAATATTACAAGAAAAAGTCATAGAAAGATTTGTGAGGAAAAGTTGTAATATTTAAAGAAAAAAGCTATTTTAAAACGTCAGAAAATGTCACAGCTCTGTCACGTCTATCCACCTTTCACTCACCTAATTAGTTCATTCAGTGCACCTGCCAGTCACACTCACCTCATCAGCTCATCACTCTCACCTGCTCACTCTGCCTCTTCACTATTTAAACCCCTGCCTCAGACACACTCACTGCCAGATCGTTCTTTGCATTCATGCTCAACCTTCCCGCACTCACCCATGGACTGATTCCCTGTTGCCGACCCTGCCTGTCCCGGACTACCTCGCCTTGCCTCTGCCCTGGTAACTTACTCAGCCCTTCTGTCCTTGACCACGAGAAACCTGTCGGATTCTTCCAGAGAATCCTCTGCCTGTCGTGTGTTGCAAATAAAGAACTCAAATCATACCAGTCCTGGTGTTGTCGTACTGCTCCTGGGTCCCAACTACACCCGTTACAGAAAGGAACATTTCTGAAAAGTTAAAATCTTATGAAAAGCAGCTGTTGGATGAGAGCAGAGTGATTTAAATATATACTTATGTTGAGTAGATCAAACATTGATATCTGATATTAGTGAAACCTTTTTCTGCATCCTCTTCTTCCTCATTTAAGATAATTACATATTTATAATTAAGATAGTCACATGATCGAGACGTTAATCGTGACCGAAGACAAAGCTGAAGGACGTCCTCTGTGAGTTTAATGGTGCTCTATTAGATCACGTGACAGATCATGTGACTTGTGAAGGTCTTATTGAGGAGATTCATATCAACGCACCTTTCAGATTCTATTATTTTGATCTTTTCATTCACCAGCTGTGACTGTTTATTGCAGGTCCAGTTTGTAAAGAATCAGAAAGGTAAAAACCCTGGTGGAGGTCTCAGTGGTTCAGAGTCTGTGATGAGGTCCATGTGGGTACTAGACCAGAGAAAACATTATTATTCTGAGTGTGATTATTAATCTACCCACAAAGGCCTCGTTACTCATAGAGGCTTCGTCTGCATCCGCTGTGGTTCAGGAGAAGCTCTCACTGATCAAACTCTCTCATTGTTTATCATCGTCTACGTTCTGAACCACAGCTGATCCCCGTTAAAGCTCATGTATTTACCTTTATGCATGTTTATTAATTAATCTGATGATTATTTTATCAACTAAACTTTGGTCTATAAAATATCAGAAAATAGTTTAAAATGTTATAATAATAACCCGACGTTCATATATTATGAAAAAGAAAGCATCTGAACCTGGAACCAGGTTCCAGAGCTGTCTGCTCTATTGTCAGTCTAAGCTAACGTTAGCTTGGCATACAGTTAGCATTAGCTCTGTGTTTTTGTGAGTGAAGGTCTGTGTGGTGTTCCTGTTGACTATTGAGGTAGCATGCCGCTGCATTCACTAACCACACACATGTACTGCTGTTGCATTGACTGGCTCCAGAAACAGATGCTAACTAGCATAAGTAGCGGCTAACTGAGCCTCTAACGTTAGCTGTAGCCCGCTTCACTGACTGACACCAGCAGGAGGCCGGTGTAGCTGCTGTATATGTATATATGTATATGTATATGTATATGT